ACAATATTTATAATGCATCGTTTGGAGGAAGATTTTGTAAGCGAGATTTTTGTGCCGGGAAGATTGGTAGAGCACTTGAAGTTGTTTGCAAAGAAATATGCATCGCTATATTTTGATCATAGCTCGAGGTCGAGCTGTTTTGAAGAAGAGGAGATTGATAAGGAACGTCAAATTGGATTCAAATTTCATCATAAGTATTTAATTCGGAGAAGAGTTATTAATGGGCATTGGTGGAAATATCGAAAGAAATTATGGAAAAATAAGGGTTTTCTACGAACTCAAATTGTATCTGAGTACAAAACGAACTCTATCTCAAGTGAAACGGCGCAAGGAACAAAACTCATGAGCATAGCTCATGAATCACGTCAAATTTTAGCAATCCAACGTTGTTTAGACTCCTAAAAGTTCGTTTTTGCTATTTTAGGTAAGGTTTAGAAAATTAATATCAAATCATAGAAAATTCGTATTTGGATTCCGTAAATTGGGTTGTTCCCAAAATAACGAGATCTACTAGAATCATACTCTAACTCGTTTTTGCCGTTTTTGGTAACTTTTAGTATTTTCTTAGTTAAATTAGGGTTTTCAGTTTTACTAGTATAAATAGTTGACTTAGGACTTTATTTTGAGAAGAATTTTGAATTTTCTAATAAAATATTTAGAGTCTTCTCTATTTTCTGGTGGATTCCAGAGTTTTCGGTGGATTCCGAATGTTATTTTGTTCTATAGGATTAATTCGTAGAAATTAATTATTTACCGTGCTTCCGTTCTGCGTCAACAGTATTGTGATATCGGGATGCATAAGTGGGTGCTCGTAAGTTGACGAGTTCACTGAACTCCCTCACCCTAGAAATCTCTATGTGGTTCTCAATAATCGAGTAGAGATATCTATGGTATAGTTGTACACCATTAGTCCTTATGACCTAGACATCACTGTGACTTCACTAGAGGACCAGCTGTATCGTGACCTGTCCCTTAGTTCCACCGAGGACCCCCCCAAGGGCCAGTGTTCGTGCAGTCCGAAATCTAGTGGGAGGTCTGTGCATTGTAGTCGTGAATTCGATCGCTAGAATATTCTTGGATGTCATGTGTGTTCTCATAGTTTGTAATCTCTAAGTCTCTGGCCAGAGCTGACTAAGTGATGATCAGAGAATTCGATTCTCTAAGTCATGCACGTATCGATTACAACACTTAGAACGATCGCACTGTTATTGAACTACTAAGTAGGTCTCGATGAACCAATGCCTCTAGTTCAATCGGGACATATGAATCGAATGGATCATACTGTACGTTAACTATATGAAAAGGTTCTTGCAGGCACTTCATTTGTATCTAGGGAATCATGACGCGTGGTTGCTAAACGCTAATCTTGATTCGTTGGGTGATTAAGTTGAAACGAGCTTCATCTTAATCGTAACACTAAGGGACGATTTTATACCACAAAGGGTTGTGGACCCACGGTTAGCTTACACCTGAACCATCGAGGGTCACACTGCTCGTGCACTTGAGTTCTTTGAATGAACGGTCAAAGATAAAAATGTTTAATCTTTGCATGATTGGAAGTCAATGTGATTGAGTCCAACATTTGTAATTTGGAATTATGAATGAGAATAAGAAAAGGAAAAGAATAGGCGAACATCTTAGTGAACTTTTTAAATCGGGAATTTCCAAATTTAGAAAGTCCACTGAACTAGGGTTACAATGAAATTTGAAATCGAGAATTGGCACTCGTAATGAAGAGGACATTACAATGATTCCGAAAATGTAATCATTACAATTTTCCGATCATTGAGTTGTGAGAAACGAGTGAGTAAAGAACTAACGAACTTAAGTTGTTGGGCCCGGTCCAACTTAAGTCCGTTAGGGCTTTTATACAAGACACTATAAAGACATGGTTTATAGGTCTTGCACAACAACACAACATAATTACAAAACCCTAGCCGCTCGAACTCTCACTCAGCCGAATTCTCACCCACGGCCACCGCCATCGCCGTCGTTCGTCGCCGGAATCGGCCCTTTGCGCCAATCGTTTTTCGGTAGTTCTTTTCCTCTTATCTTTTCTTCCGTCTATTCTAAATTTTGCGTGTCTAGTGCAACGTATTTAGTAGATCGAATTATACGAGGTGAAATCCGAGAGGAAGAAGATCAAAGAGTCGAGGAACCAAGAAGCAGCCCCGAGCCGACGCTTTACGCGCCCTCACGCGCCGCCTGAAGACAGCGCGTGATCCACACGCGCCGCCATCGCTAGCCCGTCTGCCGCCGTTGCTCTTGACTGCACGGATTGGTTTCCGTGGCAGTCTTGCTTTGATTCTTGCACCTACCTCACGCTCAAGAGGTAAACTTTCGAATCCGATATTCGATTAGGTTTTAATTTAATTAGATTAAATTATATGTATGTTCGTTTTCGTAGTATGCTTTCGTGAATTTATATGTATTTAATGTTTATAGAAATTCATGACTTACTACGAGCATGCTAATTGATTTATGGTCGATTAAATTAATTCGCACGATTGTTGTTTTTAATTTTGGCTGGAAGCGCAAAGGTACGCAATTAATTGTTTAAATAATTGTCGGGCATGTGATTATGTGAATTAAATCCGTTTATTTCACGTAAAAAATTTGTTTTCCGTTGCGTACACGTGTCTGATTCCCAACAACACCGGCATGCAACTTTGATGGGATAATTGGATTCAGCCTGACTAATCCACTGGTGATCGATGGAGATGAGGAAGATGATGGAAGTGACGGTTCGGTAGAAGCCGAGCCGATTGTATTCCCGGATCACGAAGTTCCGGACATTGGAAATAATGACATTGGAAACGATGGAGGGAAAAATGAAGACGGTGAACCAGCTGTGAATATCAGCGATCATCATGATGATGTTGGTAATTATGATGCCGATGGATTGGTTGTTGCCGATTAATCCCAAGTTTCGTGTACATTAGTTAATCTTATTTCGTAACTGTTGTGGGTTGATGTTTACCTACGTTATTAGTAAGTTTGCGTCTTTTGTTTGGGACTAAGTTCCCAAATTTTCACATATGTACGGACGGTATTTTGTAGTGTAAGTTGTTGCATGGGGCAAGGATTCCCGATTTTCAATCGAATATTAATGATTAACTACTATTATGTATTTCTTGTATCTCCAATTGGTTATAGCGTATTTTTTTCGCAAATATATTTTCGGTAACTACTCAACTGTTTTAATGAAATATATGTACCCAAAATAAGATAAATTACATGTAATTTATTGCATTCAAATGTATTATTCATACAAAGTAGAAAACACTCAAATTTTACTTTTGGTAAAAGTTATACCAGTTAATGGAAATGGAAAAGCAAAACCATAGTTAATGGACCGAATGTTTACTAAACACTTGCAGCTCTCAATGGAAATGGAAAAACAAAACCATTGTTAGGTCGGTTTACAATTCATAACTACATCATAGCGATAATAGTTACAACAATAGGTCATAGTTAATAGAACGAACCTCGTAGCTGAATAACGAAATGGAAAAAAAAAACACTTGTGTTCAACATATTCTTTGCAAAATACTGTTAAATAAACCTTACTACGAAAACAATGAATACAAAACTAAGACACTAACAACCACTGCAAGCGCTAAACCAGTAAACAGATGGTATGACTTACTCACCTTCTTATTCTCACTCTTCAGCTCCAATTGGGATTCCAAATTTGTTATTTTGTTTGACATAACTGGAATCTGCAATGGAATTTGTGATTCCAAATGTATTTATTCTCTTGAGCAAACAAGGGATTATCGCTTTTGATCTTTGACACATCTCATGATCATACCAATAGAAGCTCGAACAAGCAGTACCCTGATAATCATTTTAATTTAATATCATTTTACCAAAGCATGCACACATTATTGGATAAATTAATAAATAATTTCAACAGCTTGCTTGAAATTGTTGGTTAGAATTAATTAACCATTACAACTTAATGGGTTGCTTTACATATTAACAGCTTGCTTTAAAAAAGTTCCCATTCCTTTTTTTATGTAATGGTTGTTATAACAATATAACTATCCAATTCACAGGCAACAATTATTATATGTTTTAAACAAAACAATATTGCTATATATGCAAACGCAGGGCATCATATATTATCAATAAATCAGTAAATGAGAATAAATGATTACCCCCTGCTATGGACACGATAGAAACCGCCGTCCTGGATTCGCCGGCGTCCATGATATTTGCACAAGAAGCTTCCGGCCATAGTCACAAAAAACTGGATGCTCGCGGTTGGCGTTGTTCAAACAAAACTTGTTGCTACTCTCACTCCTTCTGTTACTACCAGTACCATTCATTCTCCAAATCAACCGTTCCACAGCAAAAATCGGCAAATTCAGTTTCAAAGTATGCGAAATTAGGGTTCTTTGATGAATGTTGTGGGGAAGGGGATTTCTACTATTAATTGTGAATATTAAAAGTCCAGATTAAAATATAATATGACTTCAAGGGCATTTGCGACAATATGTTTTTAATTCCACCTGATATGTTGATTTGTTCGACCCTACACCCGGTGATAAACACCTGGTGGGTCTTCTGCTGCCACTTGTATCTTTTTCGTATTTTATAATATATTCCCCGCTAGGGTTTACCTATAGGGGTTTTAGAAAAAAAAAAAATGGACACGTGGCAGCAGAAGACCCACCCAGTGTTTATCACCAGGTGTAGGGTCGAAGGAACCCTGATATGTTTCATGTAAACAAAATGGAAGCTGAATAGTCAAGAGATTATTAGTCATGAATTAATACAATTAACCAAATGACATGACTAATAACATTCATCATGTTTTTAATCACAGTATTAAGTATCTCATCCCAGGCCTTTTATCAAGTCATTCAAACCAAAGAGGCCGTAATTATATACAAAAAATAGTGCAATAGTAGAGTAGCATGTTGAGGATAGAAAATAAATCTATTTTTTCACCACCAAAAATGGAATTTAATGAAAAAATGATGATAATTGAAAGATGCTCAACAAGGAAAAAGAAGGAAAAAGAGAGGCCGATTAACAAGGAAAAAGAAGAAAAATGTTTAATCCGCCAAAATAACTAATGTAAAAACCCAAAATCAGTGCAAAAGGAAAAGCGACGACTACTTTACCAATACATATGACTTCACCTGTAATTAAAAGCATTCGCCAGCTCTGGGCCCACAGTTGCCATTCTTCCTTCATAGGTGTCACTCTCATGTTTTGCATGGCTGCTGCACACACCGCTTCCTTCAATGCTTCTATATATTATACTTTCCAACCCAAACACACATCACTGTGTGAATTTCACAATGGCTTTTCCTGGCTTTCCTTTTCGTTTGATTTTCTTGGTGCTGCTTTTGGCGGCGGCGGCGGCGACGCTGCCTTCTGAAGCCAGAGGTGGAAGGCGGCGATACCCATGGGATCCAATTATCCGGTGGCCGTCGGACCACCCTCAGAAGGAGGAGGAGGACGGTACCAGATGGGCGGTTCTGGTGGCCGGTTCTAACGGATTTGGGAATTATCGACATCAGGTTATGTTGTTAAATAAAACCTCTTTAATTTACTAATTCTTGCGAATTTGGTCTTTTTTCCTTCTTTTTAATTTTTTTAATTTTTTAATTTGTTAAAAAAATAAATTATTTTTTTAATTTTTTAATTCTTTTTTTTTTTTTTTGTTTAATTGGAGGTGTTGGGTGTTATTAAGAGTTAAATTCTTGAAAAAATAGAAGTCAGTTTGAGGTTAATCGTACTTCTTAAATTGGTGTTGTGCACCGGTGATAGTGATACAATTACAGGTGATTAGGAACAAATATATAGCTAATTTAAAATTTATTGATTTTGTCGGAATTTAATTTACATTCTTGTAATATGAACTCAATTCATATGAAATATTCTTTGAATTTCGGACTTGCTAATTGTTTCTCCGGTTGGTTAGAAAAATCAGTAGCCAGATTGAAGTATTTTACTATGTTCCAATATCACATTCAACGTAGTTTAATTATAGATCTGCTGGTGATGGTTGGACATGTATTTTCAATTTCATATGTTTTATACGTAAATATATTCTCATCTGATATGTTTCTCGACTTAATATCGTGTATGATATGAATATAGGCTGATGTTTGTCACGCGTACCAAATACTCAAAAAGGGAGGCGTGAAAGACGAGAACATTATCGTTTTCATGTATGACGACATTGCAATGAACGATTTAAATCCACGTAAAGGAGTTCTAATCAACCATCCTAACGGTGAAGATGTCTACGCAGGTGTTCCAAAGGTAACATTGTCGTTATTATCGTCTTAATTTTGGGAATTTATGTTAATGATGACGTCACGTTGATTGTTTGTTCACATGATGTACTTATTTATCTTGTTAATTAAAAGGACTACACTGGAGAGCAAGTTACTGCAGAGAACTTTTATGCAGTGATATTAGGTGACAAAAGCGCTTTAAAAGGCGGAAGCGGGAAAGTTGTTGATAGCAAGCCAGGTGACCGGATATTTATTTATTATTCCGATCATGGCGGCCCTGGAGTTCTTGGTTAGTTAATCAACACTAATCTTTTTTTTCTTTTTTTTTTTAATTTTAATTTATTATATCTTCATAAGCTTAGAGTTGAGTTCATTTTTTCGATTCCAGGAATGCCAAACATGCCTTACCTGTACGGCAAAGACTTCATCGAAGTTCTGAAAAAGAAGCACTCATCTGGCACCTACAAAGAGATGGTACCTGGCTTTTCGATTAAACCCAATAAACTTTTTTTTCAAATTAACTTGTGTGTGCATAGAAATATGCATATACAGCAAAACCTCGATAAATTAATAGCCTCGATTAAATAATAGTTTCTCTAGGTCCCGACTCGGTGAAAACGTGTTAAACTATTAAGTCGATAATTTAATAATTCGCTAAATTAATAGAATTTCCCAGGTCCCAACGTTATTAATTTATAGAGGTTCAACTGTATATAAATTGTATTGTGTTGTGTTGTGTAGGTTATATATATAGAAGCGTGTGAGAGTGGAAGTGTGTTCGAGGGTTTAATGCCGGATAATCTGAACATATACGTGACGACAGCATCGAATGCGGAAGAAAGTAGTTGGGGTACATATTGCCCCGGAATGGATCCTCCGCCACCCCCAGAGTACATTACATGTTTAGGTGATTTATATAGTGTCGCTTGGATGGAGGATAGGTATCTAATTTTATTTTAATTATTATAATTATATAAAATATATCTTTAATTAGTTTTCATCATGGTTCGTTGTGGTACTATTATATGCTTATTTTTCTGTATTTTGATGTGCAGTGAGTCTCATAACCTCAAGAGGGAGACTATAGAGCAGCAATATGATCAGGTACAGAACCAAATTAAAAATCGTTTTTCGTTCAATGAGTATATAACAAAATTGAAATTTGTTGTAAGTTGCATTTTAATTTATGTAGGTGAAGGAACGAACTTCGAACTATAATACATACAATGCTGGATCTCATGTAATGGAATACGGAAACACGAGTTTCAAATGGGAGAAGCTCTATTTGTACCAAGGCTTTGATCCCGCAACGGAGAATCTTCCTCCAAACGGAATCAAAGTCAAAGAACGCATGGACGTGGTCAACCAGCGGGATGCAGATGTTCTCTTTCTATGGGAAAGGGTGAGTCCGTATATATTTTTTTTTCCTTCATATAATTTAAAAATTATCCGATATGATTAATAATTTGGTCAACTCAACATTGCGTAATAGTACAAAAAAATGGAGGATGGTACAAAAGCGAAAGCAGAATTTTTGAAGGTGATAACAGAGACGATGCTGCACAGAGAACATTTAGATGGGAGTGTTGATATTATTGGTCTAGCTTTATTTGGTCCGGATAAGGGTCCGTCTATTCTTAAAACCGTAAGAAGACGAGGTTTGCCCCTTGCCGATGACTGGGATTGTTTGAAGTCAACTGTAAGATTTTTTTTTTTTTTTTTTTTTTTTTGTGGCTGATAAAATTGCATCTTTATGCTAATTTTGCTTTTAAAAAATGTAATTGACGCACGTATGTATAAACTAAACAGGTTCGGTTATTTGAGGCGCATTGTGGTTCGTTGACGCAGTATGGAATGAAACACATGAGGGCGTTTGCAAATATATGCAATTCGGGGGTCCCGCTATCCCGTATCGAGGAAGCTTGTATGGCTGCATGTGGTGGCCGTGACATTGCGAAATGGAGTCCTTTAAATAGAGGTTACAGTGCCTAAATAATACTGTTATTTTGATTGTGCGCTGTGTGTGTGTGTGTTGTACTAATTTACGGTGTAAACAGGGAAGACGGATTGTACAAGTAAAACGTATGCTTCAATCTATATTTTTAATGTTGTTTGATTTATAATTGTGTGGTTCTACTTATTTCGGGATTTTATAGATGTGTTCGCAGTCGGCGAGGTTACGTGGGATGATGTGAAGGCGTAAAAATATGCAGTGGTGAGTAGATTTCTGGTGTGATATCAATATAATAAAGAAGAATGCATTTGTGAGTTCTAATGAAATCAAGAAATTGAAAGGGGCACCGATATTTCAAGGATATGTAAAGATTCGACGACGATCTTCTTGACATATGAGCATTCTCAAAAACAGAGAACAACGGAGCATAAATGGTTTTGAAACTCTTTGGAAAGGCTCGAATAAATAAAAACCATAAATAACGACCACTTGAAAATGCTTTTAGGAAATTCTGGATTAGTGGGTTGTAAGAGCATAATTCACCGGTTTCACTATTTTCTGACCATATTTCCTTTTGTGGTGAAAAAACATGTCCATTTCTCATTGTAGCACACAATTTTGTTTTGTTCACCATTTTTGGTCGAAAAATGGGGTTTTTGGTTCCCATGCATTTTTCATCGAATTTACAGAATAATAAGATAATAATACCTCACTATTTCGTCATTTATAAGAAATGAGTTTTGGTTTGGTCTCCTATGTCATTACACTATAAATGTCAAAAAAAAATAAAAAAATTAAAAAAAATCAATTTAATATCATAATTTAGTATCTTTTATGTCCATAATTTTAGTATATTTATTTTCAAAATATTTAATATATTTTATTAGGGGCAATTTGTTAAACACCCTGAGCGCTAAATTGTCTTCCAAATCAGGACATACCAACTTTTGTAATTTGCTAAAAGTCTTGTGTTCTTCAGACTCCCACACTCCATCAAACCCCGTTCAACCCCGTTGCATTCCGTTAAATCTGCTCAAACCCTACTCCTCGCCGCTATCATTGTTGAAAATTCTGCCACACAATGGTGCACACACACCTACATACGCACATGCGCAACCACACACACGCACACATATACGCAACCACGCACACGCACACACATACGATTTTGGTTACACTCATTCATCTCAGCTATAATCTAATAATCATGGAAATCTAACCAAAAAAATTAAGAATTGTTTGGTGATGCTGATGGTGGTGGTAATGTTGGTGGTGAACGCACCAGAGATTTAATTTTTTTTCTTCAGCTTATTTAACTAAGTTGTGTAACTAAGCTATGCAAATAAGTTGTCTAAGTTGTATAACTAAGTTGTATGATTAAGTTGTCTGTGTAAGTTATGTATGTGCTGTCAACTTAAATTATTATGCTATACACAAACAATAATTCATAAATTATTGCATAAAAATGTGGCCAAAATAAATTATTTCATTGATAACTTCGAAGATCACATGGGCCTCCGTAAAAACTTGTTTGGCCAATATTAATAAATATATTTTTCTTTTGAAAATTGATTGATTAATTAACACTAGTATATTTTACTATAAATATTTTTATAAGTTGTTAATCACATGAAATTTTATATGCTAATTATAAGATGGTGTTAATTACACCAAGTTCTATTTTCACTTCTATTTCTGATAGGAGAAATAGTGTTTGGTGGAAAAAAAGGTTAAATAGTGAAAGGGTGGGAGATACAAATTTCTTCACCAAAATATTTGGTGTAGGATTTAAATAAGGTAATACATGGTTTGAGCATGATGAGATATTATAACTAAACCACCATAATTTTAGGTGTAATGATGGTTTAGGGATTTTCGTTTGAAGGTAAAAACACTTAAATTAGGTGTAAAGTATAGGATATAGAGGATGGTGAAAGATGCCCTAAGGTCCACCCTCTTTTAATGCCGAGTCGGAGTCGGGCCGAGCCGACTAATTGTTTGGGTTCTTGTATAGTCTTCACCTCAAAAGGTTTGGGTAACCCAATGATTTCATCTTTACGGCTCCAAGTACTTGTGCTTTACAAACTGAATTTGAACAATTAAGAGTTAATTACACAAAAATGGGAAAATTACATATGTCGTCCTCATACTTTACACACTTTTTCAAAACTGTCCCTAAACATTTTGGAGTTATAATAGTAGTCCTTAATCATGCAATGTATTGACAGAATTGGTCAGCCGTTAATTTTTAAAGTTACGTTGGATGGAAAATGGCATGTGCCTCTCACATGCCTTCAATTTACAACACTACATGAAAATGGACTTTCAACAACACGCATTGCGTACTGTTAAAACATATTTTTATAATTATTATTTTTAATTAAAATTTAATATAAAATTGAAATCACGTAAATTCCAAAAAAATCAACTGGTTTCGGAAATATTGTTTAAAAAATCAAAATATAGTTTAAAAATTTAAAATATTGTTCCAAAATCGGCATTTTTGGAACTCAATTAAAATATATCGTTTCAAACCAAAATAAAAAACCCGATAGATTGGGGAATTAGAAATCTCCATTCCAATTTTCAGCTCTAGTCAATTCAAAAAATCCCAATTGTGAGACAATATGTCGAGTTTTAAATCATTCAATATGGGTGAAAATTGGAAATGAGTTTTCTTATGCTGCCTAGTTTGATCGAATTTTTATTTTATTTTAAAATAATATTTTCATTCAATTTCCAAAAATTCCGATTTTAAAACACAATATTATTTTTTTAGACAATATTATGATTTTTTAAACAATATTTCTGAATTTATTTTGAATTTTTTTTCGAGTTTTAGATTATTAAATAAGGGTGAAAATTGGAACGGAGTTTTCTTACTCCGCCTATTACGATCAGATTTTTATTTTATTTAAAACAATAATTTTCATTTGGATTCAAGAAATTCCGGTTTTAAAATATTATATTAATATTTTAGACAATACTTCTAAAAATATTTTGAAACAATCTATCGAGTTTTACATTATTAAATTAGGGTGAAGATTGAAATGGAGGTTTCTTATCCCGCCTATTCGGATCGAATTTTTATTTTATTTTGAAACAATGTTTTCATTTGAATTCCGAAAATCTTGAATTTTAAAGCAATATTTCATTTTTGTAAAACAATGTTTCAATTGTTTAAAGAATATGTCTCAAAATATTTTAAAACAATATATATATCAATTTTGTTTTTTTGGAATTTATATAATTTCGAATTTCAATCAAGTTTTAATTATGAAAAGTCTGTTTTAACAAGACGCAATGCGTTTTGTTAAAAGTCCATTTTCATGTAGTGTTGTAAATTGAAGGCATGTGAGAGGCACATGCCATTTTCCATCCAACTTAACTGCAAAAGTTAACGGCGGACCAATTCTGTCAAAAAATGGCATGATTAAGGACTACTATTGTAACTCCAAAATGTTTAGAGACAATTTTGAAAAAGTGGGTAAAAATATGAGGACGAAAAATGCAATTTTCCCCACAAAAACCCTTATGTGATCTCGGATTACCAAAAAGTTTCTCATGTTAAAACATTTAAGAAGAAACACATTGAGTTCTATTTTACATAGCACACCACCCTTTGCTTCAAAATTGTACTCTTGATTCCGTACCGAATATGTAGATAATAGTTATGAATTCATTTTTTTTTATGGAGAAGGAGGTGGTGGTGGGGGGAATATTTTGGTGGTTAAAGGTAGGAATATTTTGAAAAGACTAGGCATTGAAATGAAAATTCTAAGAATTTCACTTTGGGCCTTCTCAAAATTTTGGAGTGAATTTGTAGATTTTGAAATTATGATATAAATAGTATTTGAGTTTTTCATGTTAAAACGGAATCCAAAGGCGCGCACAATCCACGTCTGCAACACATTTTCAGCTCCTAGGGTTCTTATTGGTATATGGTGTTTATAGATGGTTCTTGCTAATTGTTTTAACATGAAGACATTTTTTTGATAATTTAAAATTGCACATGAGTGTCGTGGTCCTTGCAAGAAACCCGAATAATTAAATACTATATTGTCCGTGTCGATTCGAAATCTAGATTTCATTATTCCAATACCAAAACACAATAGTTCATATTAAATACAACATTTTTAAATGAATTTTCCCAACCAATAGTTGGACTCCAAAAAAATAAAATACCAATTTCAAAAATAATAGGACAAGAAAAAGAAAAAGAAAAAAAAAAAGAAATTGAGAATAAGAACAAAAGTAGGCGGATCATGTACGGCCAGAGAAATTGTTTATTGAATCAATGCTAATCCCTTCTGTCCCAAAGAAAACAATTATATGGCGTTTGGAAAACGAGGAGGGCCATTGAAATATCTCCGTCACATTTATTGGAAAGCTAGAATATTTTGTTCGTGTCACCTTCATTGCTTGTTTTTATTCCATGACTGTTAAGCTAAAAATCACCATCAACGATTTGTTTTGAAGTTTTTTTTTTTTTTTTTTTTTTTTTATTTATTTATAGAAGTATATAAAAAATAAGTTGAATATAAATATTTACATTTCTATTCTACCTCAACTTTCATAAATGTCTGAAATATAATTTGTTCGATTTCTTTTCAGTTCCATGAAAAATTGCTTGAGTTTGACTTGCTTCTTTTGTACCTTCAAACTAATGAATTTTTATCTCATAGGAGGTTATAAATTGTGGGGCACATTACGGACAACATATGAGGTAAAGTCAAACTATGAAAAAATGTCTTATGTTTGAATAATTAGTAATAAATACCCTCCTAAATTATGTAGTTTTTTTTTATTATTCATTTTTTTTATAAAATTCCTTTTTCTTCATTAGGTAAATTTGACACCGCAAGAATGTACATATTAGGGGAAACTCTAATTATACAATAAGAAATGTTTTTTTTTTTTTTTTAATTTGACCTTACGGTGGTGGCAGCAATTTACCCTAAATTGTAATATTTAGTTGATTACATAATTGTAAAAATTATATAACTATAGTCTATAACCTTGGCACAATTATTAAAATGAAAATCCAAAACAAAGAATAAGAGTTCCAAATGCAAAAACTAAAGACGGAAAATATAATTTGTACAAGTAAAATTTGAAAAAACAAAAACTGAAAAATATCGACTTTATTTTCAAAGGCCAATAAAAAAAAGGAAAAAGACAAAAAAAAAAGTCCCACTCTCAGTAGAGCCCCATCCTCCGCCAGCTTCCGCCACCGCTCGCGGCGGCGATCTTCATCTGAATATCCTCCAACTCGGATCTCGGGCAAGGAATCTGGATCCCACCATCGTGATTGAACCCGTAAACCTTCTCAGCTTCCCTCAACAGCTCACTAAACAAAGGGTGGTTGAAATATATAACAGGCACCACGACCCGACACGTGTCGTCCTCCTTATCGCCCACGTACACAGCCAGGTGCCCTTTCGGTAACTTGGGCTGCTGAACCGGTTCTTGCCCGGCCCGAATGTAACCCCCCGAATTGTTTCTTCTGCTAGAAGAACACAGCCTTACAGCTCCCTTTCTCACGGAACGGACCAATCTGTGGAGCTTTGAGAAGGGACCCGCCGAGGGCTGCAGGCGGTGGTAGGTGGTGGATCTCCGCCGTGTGCGGCGGTGGATGCACCAATTGAAGACTTTGACCACCACCCTGTGTCCGAGACGGAAGCCCCTAGTCGTCCTCATCTCTATATATGGGGTACGGTATACTAGAGTTGATGATGTAAAATGGAAGATTTGGGTGTGTGTGATTAAATATATATATATATATAATAGGTTTTCTTTCTTTTGTAGTAATTAATTTTCTTTGGTTTTTGGTTTATTATCGAAGGTTTGAGCTGTGCTTGCTTGGTTTTCTGTGCAGCTTTCTACTTTCCAGTGATATGCTGACTAAGGGGGTTTTCTTGGGGGGTGAGGGTGGGGGTTGGGGGTGGGTAGAGAATATAGTGGTGGGAGTAAAGAGATTTTTGGGGGGCCCAAGCGTGTGGGGGTGGTCGGCACACGTGTGGTCACGTTTAATTTGTGATAATATTTTTTAGGGCAAATTACCTACACCACCTTGTCTTATGATCAAATTATGAAAATCATCATCGTGTTTGGGTAATTACAACTATCCGTTCAATTATGTATTATCTTACGAAAAGACCTCTCTAGATGTAAATTTAAGAATGTTAATTTGGTAAAACCGAACCGAAATTTCAGTGAGCCAACATTTCATAACGTTTACCGAACTCAATATACGTTTTGGTTCGGTAAATACCGAATTACATAAATTTTATGTAAAAATATTTCAAACGAGGGGGTGGCTGTAACTATCCAAACAAGAGAGATTTTTTCATAATTTGTCCATACCTCAGGAGTGGCCGTAATTTGTCATATTTTTTATTAAACTATTTCACAAATTTGAATGAGCATAGTTCACTTTGCATCCCTAAATTATCTTGTCTGTCACAAACACACCCTTAAATTATAAAATGAACTAAACACCCACTATCATTTTGCATTATATTCAAATTCAAGGCTCATTTTATATACATTACTAGGTGCCTAATAAACTAGGGATAAACTCGAGCGAAAATTATCATTTGGCATACTCCTGTAGAGAGGTGAAAGTACTAAATGCCCTTATCTACAATATTCATCCAAACCGCATTCAACATTCTGGCATGCATTTAGCATTTTTCACTGATTTATTTGTTTTTTTATTTATTTATTTATTATTTATTTATTTTTTCAAATACTTGTTTGTTTAATTTGTATTTTTTATTTATATATTTTTTTTCAATTTTTTTTTAATCTTTTTTAAAATCGATATGATTACTATACTGAAAATAACTATATGTAACTGTAGTAAACTATGGTCATTCGTAGTTATGTTCTTTCTTTTTACCCCAAATTTTTAGTCGACCAATTCTGAACACACACGAATATTGGTTATACAAAAGAAATTCGTAAATCCCAACAACAAAAGGTCAATATTTATATTATAAATCACCTCATAACCAACAAATATATAACGAAAGTACACAAATATATGCATATGTAACTACATGTTTCTATATGTAACCAGTAATGTACAATAATGTATACAGTCTGCATAACACTATAACCTGAAGCATATGTAACTTCAACCAAAAGTTTTGACACCTTCAAGGAGAGGATCAATGGATTTTATTACGCTGCAATTACAAATTTTAGTGCAAATAACCAAAAATGAAGAAACATCAAAAGACTCAAAAATCAACAACCACTAAGAGATCGGGAGATAGAGGCCATTGCTGCGAAATGCTACAAATTTTAGGCTAAACCGCCAATGACTCTTCACCCCAAGCGCATGCTACAAAAATCCAAGCCGCCACCAACCACGCAAGGTTCCGCGCTTGCAAATGAAAATAAATTAAAAACAAAATTTAAAATAAAAAATGAATGAAATTTCCATAAAACTACAGATCTCGACGAGAGGAATCCAGCGGTGGGTAGCCCGTCAAATTCTGACTGCCAGAACACAAATTACTCCTCCGGAAAGACCCATCGTCGTTGAAATACGTGTTGACTGTATACATTATTGTACAACTGCATAATTATACAATTGCATAAACAGACCTTGCGCTCCAAACTTAATGAAATCACCCCCAATAGAAAGATCTCGCGAGAGGAATCCAACGGTAGTTAAACCATCGAATTCCGACTACCGGAGAGCGAGTTATGACTCCGGGAAGCAACATCGTCAGTTGAAGACCTCGGGAGGCGGGATTTGAATCTGGGAGTTGAGAGAGGAAGAAAGAAACATATATGAGTTGGCTAGGGTTTAAAACTGATTTAAAAGGGAATTTTAGGTAATTAAAATTGGCCCAGGGGGTATGTCAAAATATTATAAAAAACGAGGAGGTTTGCACCATCCTCTTGGTGGTTAGTCATATTTCATTTGCATATGAGGGGGTTCTCTAAAATAATCCCTTATATTTAAGGGATAATATGTTGGACACCCCTCAAGTCAAACATAGTTAGATATGAGATACAATTTTAAATAGTTATTTTAACTAAATTCTTAGTTCAAAATAAATATTGACCCATATCCTTTGATTTTTCTTATAACTAAAAAATACCCTTAAATAAAACCACGTTTATTTTTTATTTATCTCGTTTTCCTCTCATTACTTTTCTCCGCCGCCTCACCCCTTCCCTCGATCTCTTTTTTCCACCGCCCACTCCTTTCTCTC